CTTCTCATAACATATCCATGCTAGCTAACCTTTTACTCCTTACCTTCTCTACCACTTGGGCTACTCTCAAACTTTCCTCTAAAATATTCATTTCGTTCTCAATTACACAAATGTGAATTTATAATGATGTCAGAAATAATATGTGTATGTTCTATCGCTAGATTGTCTAGATACATTATTGCAAAAACCTATTGTTTTTTATTGTAACAAAAAAACAGCTCAAATCTCAGCAATGCAATTACACTATCTGATAATCACAATTTTACAAAGGATTAAGATAAAATTGGAATATTTCAAATGAAATACTAGTCGAAATAATGTACTTACTATAATTTGGTTTTAACATTCGTGAATATACAGGAGAGAATAAAGACTTCGAAGTTACCTACAGTTTTCTTTTCGTATACCTAGCTTTCGCCTGCGACTCCGACCGCCTGTGTTTTCTTCCAGACTTTTCTCTACATCTATGCCAAATTATATCGAGACCGGTTCAGCAGTTTGAGCTACAAACTCTAACAAACCTCCATCCATCTAAACTTTTGCACCTATTTAACTAACATTATAAATGGGAAAGTTTAGATGGATGGATAAATAGATGGATGTTTGTTAGAGTTTGCAGCCTAAACATGTTAACGGATCTTGATGAAATTTGACATAGATGTGGAGGATAATCTGGAAGAACACATAGGCTATTTTTTTAATTCCAAGTGGACGTACTCCCGGGCGAAAAGTAGTAATGTTATATTAGTAGGAAGATTATCATGAAGACAAAGAAGGGGTCTGCTTATGTGTTTAACAATGTATTTAACATCAAATCCGAACATTAAAACATCTGCAACAATCATTCTAATATTATAAAAACGAAAGTTTAGATGGCTGGATGTTTGTAAGAGTTCGTAGCCCAAACGGCTTAACGGATTTCGATGTAATTCGGTATAGATGTAGAGGATAGCTTGGAAGAACATATAGGCTAATCACTTTTTTTTTAGATTCCCCGTGAACGGAATCGCGGGCAACAGCTAGTCAGAAATTAGGAACGTTGGCAAATTAAACAGAACAATTAAACGATAAGTCAGTAAAAATACAAGAACCTAATATAAAGATCTCGCAGTGAGCTAGTTTGGTTGGTCAGTCACAACTTAGGGTAAACTCTGAGCTCGAGGTGGGGACCTAAGTAAGCTGATGATCTACAAACTTCCAAGTATTCATTATTCCAATTAAAATTTAGATCCGCCATGAAATTAATTGGAAACCAAATTTCTTAAGACCCTTATCTAGTAATGCATAAAAGCAGTGTTCAAAGAAAAATTACATCAACAAATGCAACGCCTGATTAAATTATATCAATTGAATCCTTCGCATAATAAAATGTATATTATCATCATTTCCAGATTCTTGCTGCTTTATCTTATCCCAATAATATTTTAGTAGTATTTATTAGGGTTGTGCGAAATTCGTTCGAATCGAATCGATATCGAAATTTAAAATTAATCGAAACTTCGAATAATTGTTAAATACTTCGGACGTATGGGAATATTTTAGAAGATTACATTAAAAATTAGAAAATATGCTGAACATACTTCGGCTTGAACAATACCTACTCTCTACTTCACTTTATCTCCAGAAAGATTTCGATTTATCTATTAAGAGTCACTTACATATTAGTTTTATTTTTTTTATCAATAAGGAAAAGGTCTTAGTGGCCAGAATTACAGTTGTTTTGGCTGAATGCAAACTCTTTGTCTACGGATGGGTATATCTTTAATTCAACACAGGTTTCATCTTTCATTTCTTTCTTTCACATCTTTCATACATCATGCAAAATTTTAAATAATTAATATTGTATATATGAAAACTATAATTTACTTTTAATATTTCTTATGTATCTGTAATAGTGCGATAATGTTTAATTTTTTATACGAATGTTCGAATCGAAGTCAGTCATTCATGAGTTTCGAATTTCAGCACACCCCTAGTATTTATAGATACGCAAATGGTATTTAAAATATAAAAAATACGTTGTAATTTACTGATACTCAAAGCAGACGTGTGTTATAATGGAAATAATATTTTTAATATTACTAATTACTTGTACTATACCAGTGTTTGGTGAAGATTGCGTGGTTTATACTTTTGAGGATGATTTCGATAATTTATTTTCAAACGAGATAGGAGTTTGCCGAGGGATGAAAATGTGGCAAATGGGTTATTATTCCTCTATTTATTTGGATAGTCCACATGTTTTGAGTAACAAATTTATATCACCGGACTATTTGTTGAGTTGTGTATCATCGTTTACGTTCGCGATGTCAGGTATGGGTACTGTAGAAGTTAACTTGTACATGGATCCAGCGTCGAACAGCGATCAGATATCTATTGTGGTGCACGAAGTAGTCCCAGGGTCAACAGCTACTGTAGTAGGGAACAGAGGTATATCAGCGATGGCACCAGATTTTGTTGTAGGATGGCACTCTATAAGAATTCCTCTGATTGGTTCCGGAACTTTTCAAGGTTATGTAAGTAAAGATTTCTGTAATTAATAAATAACGCTTTAATTATTCAGTTGTAAATACCAACCCGCACTTGGCCAGCGTGGTTGACTATGGCCTAGTCATCCTAACTTTAGGGTAGGCTCTGAGCCCCTCGTTGCGGACGTATAGTGAGCTGGTGATGATGATGATGATGTAATACTGAGAAAAGAAATCTACCATTGTATTTAATTAGTACTTTGTTTACAAGTTTCTCGATTGAAGAAGTAATCATGTTTTTTTATTAAATACATCAAAATGTTCAAAGTACTACGATAAGATTAAACTAACACTAGTTTTACACGCCATTATATAAAATCTGTAATATTTATTTCTACAAATTTAGCCATGGCACTTAAAATTCTGGAATATTCGACAGTAAATTGAACAAATATACTAAGACAAAAACGTTCGCATTTGCTTTGCTTTCCTTTGAATTTACCGATATCAGAAAAATTTATAAAAGTCCAATTTTGTCATAAACAATAATAATCATAGATACGTTCTATTTATCTATATTGTTACGTCTATAAAGATAATATTTATGTCGCTGTTTTTCTATATTTAAACTAATATTGATTTTTACATTATTCGTTTTCAAACAAAGCTTTTAATACTATTTCAACTGTAGCGATTGTTTAAGAAATTCTAAGAAAATAATCATCATCATCTTCCTCGTTATCCTATTCTTGTGTCAGCGCAACAGGTTTTTTTCCTCCACATAATTCTATCATACATCTCAGTCATCACTCGCTTCTTGATCATGTCACCTTTCAAGCAAACCATCCATCTCTTTCTAGGTCTACCTCTACCGGTGTACCTCTACACTCATATCTAACGCCTATGAAATTTTAAGAAAATAATGCAGTGTACAAATAGGATTAGTACTCGTATTATTAAATAGGCTAATAACAGAACATTGTAATAAAAAACAATAGGCTATTGATATGTTATCGTTTGGCAAATAGTTTTACCGGTATTTAAGGAAAATTAATTAGATATAGGCGTAATACACGAATACACGTTGGCTATCTGTTACTAATCATTGAAACAATACTAATTGTAAAGTTTTTATCGTAATTATATCATAAAATTATAAAAGTACTAGCTTTCGCCAGCGCCTCCGTCCGCATGGATTTAAGTAGCCTAAGTGTTCTTCCAGACTATCCTCTACATCTATACCAAATGTCATCGTATTCGGTTCAGCCGTTTAGACTACAAACTCTAACAAACATCTATCCATCTAAACTTTCGCATTTATAATATCAGTATGATTGATATAGTAGACAGTCTAAAAAGAACATTGGTTCGACCATGTACTTATATTAAAATTTAAATGATTAGCCAGCGCATTACCAAACATACAATAGAAATATGCAATCATCATCAACCTGCCTTTGTCCCTTGAAGGTAGGTTCAGCATGTGCTTTTCCATACATCTCTATCAGCCGTCATATTAATCAATCCTTACTTCAGCATATCCATACTTTTTCCGATCTTCCTTTATCTCATCTCTTTTATCATCTTGCCTGATAACATGTCCATGCAACGGTAACCTTTTGAATCTCAATTTCTCAACTACTGTCGCGATTTTCAAACTTACTCCAATATTTTTAACATTATTCCTTCACAAAACAAACAAATGCATCAGGAAAAATAATGTTAAAAAATAACGCCATTACTCCCGTTACCATGAATTCTCGATACATCAGGAATAACACGGAATAATCCATTAATTAGTTATTTTTCCACGTGTTGTATTTGCGGATATCGTTATCAACATGCTACTAGCTTTGTTTTTCCTACTTTGACTATTAAGTGTCAGGACTCGTTAACTTAACATTTTGCTTTGTAAAAAAGAAAAAAGTAAGTTTAAAACTTTCGTGTGCTTTCTTAAATTTATTTTAGAGTTAGGATGCATGTAAAAATAGATAATAATTTAAAATACAAGTATCGGCATATATGATCATCTTTACCGCAGTCTTCTTGAAAGTGACATAATTTATTTAATACAATGCTAATTGCCTAGTCCATTTTTCGATAGTCGACTATTTCCGGTATTTTTCATGATATTGCAATAAAGAGAGATTAGACTGCATTTACGAATTTAACGTCATTAAAATTTTGGTAAACATTGATGTCATATGATAAGACTCGAAGCTATCGTAGTCATAACTTATCAACATTTTTCAAGTCTCATATTATAATATTCTGTAGACTGTGAAATATCGGTGAAAATACCCATCCCTTTCATTCTATTGATAAAATACGAAACAAACAATAATAATTTATATCTTTATATAAAAGCATTTAAAAAAACGTAATTTTGTGGTCACAATATTCACACATTCGTGACGTTGCAGACAAGAATTCTTGATAAATTAGTCATTAAATAGATATGGTGTTCAATACTCGGAAGCGAATATCGTAACTGATAATTTCAAATCCCTTAATCCTCTTAACGCCAGCAAGCTATTTATTGGATTCCAATGGTAATGGATGACATTTTCAACGTAGTTGTTTCACCAAAATAACCCTCGCAATTGGTAAAAAAACTTAGAAAAATACTATCATCTAATTAGTTATTTTTACAAAAGTTCGGAATCCAATCACTTATATTAAAGAATTTACCATAGACAAAATTCGTAGCCATCAATAATATTTCAGATGAATCTGAAAAGAGCAAAAAGCATTAAATGATATATCTATATATATATTTCAATTTCAGGTGTCTCTAATGGGTATGGCATCAAGCGCATCTATTGTTCTTATCGATTCTTTTCGTTACATACCACCAGCATACGATGAAGAACTATGTGTATTATACACAGAATCTAATGAGACTACATCGTTTACCGAAACAGATACTCCGACACCGATATATTCAACCAATTATGACTCTACTACAGAATTGTACGAGTCTACTACAATAGAACAAACAACAGAATATCAGACAACAACAGAAGATCAACTCGACACTATTTCAACAACAGAAGACACGTATTCAACAGAATATTCAAGTACACAAAGGGAAGAAACGGAACTTCCATCGACTACATCACAAACAGAAATATCTACACAAGAAAGTGACACGGATTGGGACAGTACAACACCAACTCTGGAGAACACTACACCAGAACTAACAACTTACGAACAAACAAACACCAATACAGAGCAAGAATCCGATGTAACAACTCCCCCATGGTTTATAACCACAGATTCAGATTCTACGAATGAATCATCAGATGACTCGGAGGTGAATACTTCTACGACAGAAACATCCGAAGATTACTTCACTGGATCAACTACTGCAGACATGACAACGGAATTCGAAACAACTTATACTGATATTTCTACTTCTGATACAACCGATGAAAGTATTACAGATACTATAACGGATACAGAAACTACAGAACTCATTACTGATTCGGATCCAACTATTTCAACAGAAATTAATGACATATCTACAACACCAGTATTTATAACCGATGCCACGACACCGTGGGATTTTACAACAGACCCTGAAAGTTCAACAATTTCAACAGAATCAACAGAGACTACTGATATTAATACCACTACAGAATTGTCAACTTATACAGATACTATTGAAACAGACGTTACAGATACATCTTTGAGCACAGATACTGAACAAACCTATACAACTCAGGGAGAAGAAAACGAAACGTCAACTCAAACTGAAGCTACTACTAATAATTACGATACTACAATAACTGATATTACGCAAACTGATGAAACTACAACAGAAATAAGTGATATCGATACTACTCCAAGTCTAGAAACAACTATAACATCTGATTTCTATACAGACACTGAGAAATCGATCATCAGTACAACAGATTTGTCAAATACCGATACCACAACAGAGGTATCAAACGATAAAACAACAGAGGAAGATATATCAACTTCAACATCTGATATTATTGGCAGCACACAGACTGATACTTCAGAACCATCTGGTACTACGGATACAGAAACAACTGGGACCACAACTCCAGATAATACAGAAACAACAGCACCTACGATTACAGATAATATTACTGAAACAGACGTCACAAATACATTTTTAACCACAGATACAACTCAGGAAGGAGAAAACGAAACGTCGACGCAAACTGAAGTTACCACTGATATTTACGATACTACAACAGAAATAAGTGATATCGATACTACAACTCCAAGTATAGAAACAACCACAACTGATTTTTATACAGAGACTGACTCGTTCGTCAGTACAACAGATTCGACAACCGATACCGATACCGATATCGAAGATATATCAACTTCAACATCTGATATTACTGGCAGCACACAGGCGACAAAAACAACTATAACTACAACTCAAAATACAGAAACCACAGCACAGAATGATCAGTCAAGTACAACAGTTACAAGCACCTTCTATACAACACAAGAGACTGAAACAAATGTAACAGTTCTAACCACACCAAAATCTCCAGAGACTACTTCTCAAACAGATACAGAAACAGAAAGTACAACACTAATTCCGGAAACGGATAATACCCACTCCAGCTTTTGGACTCCGTTGACTATATCTATGTTAGTATTATTAATAATTATTTTATTAATAGTGACAGCTGCGCTTTTCTATGGATTAGGTAGGAGAAAAACAAACAAGGAAACTCCGCAATATGTTTTTACTGACTACGAAGACTTTCCAAGGACAATAATCGTTCCTCGAGTGACGAAAGTACTTGTTGAACCTAATAATTTTAAGAAAACAATGTTAGTCTAATTAAGTTTTAGACGAAATTGAAATGACAAAGTAAAATAAAATAATGTTTCATCCATTCTAAAATTGAATATTGGTAAAATGAAATTTAGTCATTACCATATGGGAATTAAAAAAAAAAGATGGTTTCACTTTACCAATTATTAATATTGAAAATATGAAAAAAGCAATTGTTTTTTTGCAATTAAATATTATTCATTTGTGTCCATAAACTATTTTTTTATTGCAATTTGTGTTTAAAATCAATTTAAATTCGTTTATTTTGTTAATAATTAAGTTCAGAGTACCTTTACATTATGAATTTCTTTTAACTACATTTGATAAGAAAATTCTATTTTAACTCGAATATTATTTTTTATATTAAGAAGTTTTAGTTATTAAGTAGTTATAAAAAATTTAACACTAATTCCGAGTTTTCATTTCATCCTTAAGAAATTATAAAACCATTTCTATTTCAATTAAATAAACAGAGTTTTAGTTAGCACTAACTACTCGTATAACCTTTTATTATTATTAAGAAACAGATAAACTTACCTAGAAAAATGATTTTAAAAGTATCTACGTTAATAACATAAAGAATAAAGAAAATAAAACATAGTATGGAGCGCAAACGTGAAATAAACCAAGATAGAGTATTTTGCTTATAGGCATTGAATTAAAAATAGCAAGATTTATTTAGCTACTCGCTTTCGCCCGCGACTCCGTCGGCGTATATTAAAAAAAAAAACAAAAGTAAGTAGCCTATATGGTCTTCCAGACTATCCTTTACAACTATGGCAAATTTCATCGAGATCCGTTCAGCTGTTTAGGCTACAAACTCTAACAAACCATCCATCTAAACTTTCGCATTTATAATATTAGTTAGATTAGATTACTTGGAAATTAGATTTTAATGTCAACGCCTGTAAAATAAAAATAGCATCGAATACAAAGCGTTAAGCCAAAAATTTATAGCGCTTGCTATTCAAAATTTAGAAGGGTGATGTATATCAGCGAGAGCAGTGTAGAAATTATTTAATTTTACATTTACTATAATAATAATTAAGAACATTATTATTATATGAATGTACAGCGAAATCTATAAAGAATCGGTTTAATATGATCCGTTAGCGATTATGTCAAATACGCTATGACCTTCTATACACTAGAAGAAATATCTCAGTGATAAGTGTAAGGTTTCATTTGTTATTCTTTTCCTGTAGTTAATAAAGAACGTGTTTGTAAATATAACATTGACAAGTGTATTTTGTTTTAATTAGTTTAAGAAAATGTCATCGGACATTTAGACAGGAAAACCTTACAGCTTAGTGCAATGCGATGTAGAAACAATTGTATTGGCACCGACTAGACGTCGAGGGTCCGTGACTAGTCGGTGCCGACACCGAACGACCATGAGTGAAGCCGTTCTTTATTAGTTGTTGATAATGCCCCACGAAATATAAATAAACTAGCTGTTCCCATGCGGCTTCAACCGTATGAAATTATAAAAACTTTATTTTATTGTTTACATTTGTCAAATTCTCAATTACAAATGTCAAAAATCAAATGCACAAAAGACAACGAAGGCCTTTGACATTGGATACCAATTACCGTACCTAAGCAATCTTGCTTAATGTTGGCAGCTTGTAGTTTATGATCCTTTTCCCACATGAAGATTTTATTCCAATTTGTTTATCCGCTAAGTTTAATAGCGTCAAAATATAAGTGCCTTTTTATTAAGGAGTAATTCAAAAATATGCTGTGATTGCTGACATCCTGCGCCACAAAGTAGTGTGTGTTTACATGTTATTGTATTAGTATACGTAAGGTCTTAATAATTACTCAATCCGGTTTACCTAATTAAATGTGTGCCTTCGAACGCATGGAAGGAAGTCTAAGAAAAATCAAATTTAAAAATCTTGATCCTAATCACTATCCAATCAATCCTTTGTAATAAACCGCCAAAATGCCGCCGCAATAGGAGATAATTGATCATCGATCATATTCTCACACCGATACCATTATCAACATTATAATGAATCGCTGATAATTTAATCAAATCTAAACTATTCCCTTTGCGCTTGACCGTCTTTCAAAATGTTTCTATTCATTATTTTACATCACAAAAGTGGACATGTCAGTACAAATGTAAAGTGCATTTACGAGTATTTTAAACAATCAAACCATTATGAGCTATTTAACAAGAATAGTGAATTAAATGTTGTGAAAAAACGTTTTAAACAATATTGATAAATATAATACACGCGTGACAATGTGAATTATTTAGAATTAGAAAATTATCGAATTAATGATAATGCTTTGAACAAATACATTGATTGTCGTTAAGCTTTAATAGTAGATTTAGTATAAATCACAACAATCAGTGGTTAATACTCTTTTAAATATCGAAATGATAAGCTTTAAGTGTGTAGTTTTGATTTTGGTGTACAGTTCGGTTGTGTTGTGTGATGAATGTGTATCGTACGATTTTGAAGATGATTTTGACGATCTTTTTACAAGTGGTGTAGGTGTGTGTATAGGTATGGTGACATGGAACATCGCTGCTTATAGATCTCTACCACTAGAAAGTCCACATCCGAGTAGTACACAATTCATATCTCCATCGGAACAACTGAGTTGCGTTTCATCGTATAGATTTACTATGACATCTGGAGGGACAGTTGAAGCAAATATCTACATGGATTCATTGTCAACGAGGGATCAAGTGTCTTTTGTTGTCAACGAAATAGTGCCGGGTGGAAACGATGCTGCTGTAGGCACTATAGTGTTATCATCGTTGGATCCTAACTTTGTTAACGGTTGGCATACCTTAAGGGTCACATTAACTGGACGAGGAACATACAACGCTTTCGTGAGTAAATTTTAAATATGTCATTGCCCTATGTCTAAACAATACAACAAAACCATCTTAAAAACAGCCCAATTTAGCCTCGCTTTTCAGTTGTGCAACTAAACAGTTGAATTGGTTGCGAAACAATCGACAACCGCACAACAGTTGTGTGATAGTTTGGTCAAAGGCGCGCCCGCTCTTAAAATTCATATGTTTTTCTTCTAGCGTAATTGAGAATTATTTACAGATGTTTGTCTAGTTTTTAAATGAAATACTAAAGCTTTACATATCAATGCACCGAAACAAAACGCATTAAATTGGTTGTTTTATTTTTTTTCTATTTATTTATGGATAACTTACAGCTAACTTACAAAAAATAATAAAACAAAAAAGAACTGTAGGTATCGCAAATATAGATTACTAGCTTTCGGGCGCGACTCCGTGCGCGTGGAATTGAAAAAAATGAATAGCCTATGTGTTTTTCCAGACTATCCTCTACGTCTACATATGTCATCGAAATTCGTTCAGCCGTTTAGGCTACAAACTGTAACAAACATCCACCCATTCATCTAACTAAACTTTTGCATTTATAATATTAGTATGATAATGAAATTCACTCTTTATTTCAGATAACATTTTTAGGATTATCAGGACCTCTGTCTACAGTTCTTATTGATTCGTTCCGATACATACCACCACTAGTTGACCCAGAAGATTGTTTTATATACGAAAATGTTACAACCACCGAAGTACCGGAAACTACAGTAACTTCAGAAAATACTGAATCAACTACAGAAGAAATCTCAAGCACAACGTTGACAGAAGTAACAAATACTGAGCAAAGTACAACGACAATATCGAATACAGACTCAACACCAACACCATCAATAGAGGATACTGATGGAACAACTACTATAACACTTGAGGAGACTACCGCAGAAAGCACAATAAGCTCCGATCCAACAGATTTAACTGTATCTCAATCGGTATTTGATACCGATTCAACAACTGAAACTTCGTTTTTCTCTGACAGTACGACAAGGGAAATGGTGACTGACGTAGAAAGTACAACACCCGAGTTGTCAACAACAGAAAACACAATTCCACCTGAACTAACAACGCAATCTGTATTGGATACTGAGTCAACAACTGAAACTTCTACTTTCACTGATAGTACGACTAGCAAAATGGTGACTGACGTAGAAAGTACAACACCCGAGTTGTCAACAACAGAAAACACAATTCTACCTGAACTAACAACGCAATCTGTATTGGATACCGACACGACGACTGAAACTTCTTCTTTCACTGATAGTACGACTAGCGAAATGGTAACTG